CCTGGTTTAGGATTTGTTGCTGGATGACTGGGTCACTCATGTCAAAGTCAGTGGTGATCCTCAACACAGATCTCTTTTTAAAGTCTGAAAAAGTGTTAATGATGTGATTACCCGAGCTTTCATTTTGGTACGATGTTGAAAAGATGAAAGTATAGAAATTATTACAATGTTACCATGTACAGGAAGCAGAAAAAATAAAAACTTTCAACCTGTTTTTGTTCAATCAATATGGCATGCCCAGTGAATAAAGTGGAAATCAGTTTTGAAGCTTACCGAGAACAGTACCATAAACCTGTATTTCACAAACAGTCAGTTTCTTCTGTAATCCAGGGAGAACAACATGGACGAAGCGACCTTCCATTATTCCACACTGGAAGTCGTACTTGCGCTGTCCCTCTGCAGTAGAGATGACGACACACCTGACAGAAGGATGAAGTATAACTAAGAATAAAAGTGGTCGTTAAGTATGAGTACTACTACAGCAAGTAAGCACTCTTTTGTTCCAGCGAAGATCACCTCTGGTTGCTGGTGTCATTACTGAGGCCAATGCGGACTTCAGTAAAGTCCAGGTCCTGTAAGCAGCAGTCTGTGACACTGATGATAGACACAGCCGTTATGCGGTAGATACTTATCAGGTCCAGTTGCCACCAGGGGTTGTCTTGCATTGGGACTGAGGCACAGGTTTCAGAGTCTTCATCAATGGCCATTTGTGGGGCAATTGCAATAGAATCTGGTTCTCCTGATTGTGTAATTATTCCCCTTGGTGCCACGTTCTCTGGCAGGAGTGTCATGAAGACAGTTAGGAAAAAATTAATGAAAAAGAAACAGTTATAGATTAATTGGGAAAACCACAACATTGGTCTTCCATTTAAAGTACAGTTCAACAAGATAAAGAGCCTACCACCACTCTAGCGGACCTTTGAGGCCGTAATGGTAAAGCAAACAAAATTGTTCGATAGATAAACCAAAGTACTGGACAAATACAAGATCTGACAAGATGATTAGGGACCAGACACCAAACATCCTCTTGGGATTCATGAATGTGTGCACACAACCAACCATCCAGAACATTTTCATCCATAAACCAGACTGCTAGAGTGTCTAAACCCACCAAAAACATTTACAGTTTATCATGCCATTTTAAATGAAGGGTTATCAATTGAATAAATACATTATGTGCGCTCTGCATTCACTTTAAATCTGAATTACAATTACATTTTTTTTGTCTGTATGTTGTATTTCAGATTAGAATTTTGGAGAAAAAGCTTTAGTTTCTGGGATTCAATTGATTTATGAATGACATTTTAAATAAGTTCTACAATCAGCAGAAAAGTGAACAAAGTCTTCACTGAAGATATTTTGTAACTAAATTATTTTTATATTTAAATTTTTACTTCACTTCATGTTCATACTGGAACCACTGCATTGCATTGAATTACCTCCTGTAATATTGGTAGTGGCGTACACTCTGACCTCACAAAGCTGAAGTGACTTTTCTGCTCCCGGGAGGAAAATGTTGACATAACGTCCTGTCATTTGGCTGCAGTTGAAGACCATGGTAACAGCACTGGTGATATGGATCACTCCACATCTGAAGGGCAAAGAGACAGGATGACGATTCATTCCTACCTCCACAAAAATGTAGGTAATGCAAATTTGTATTCAGCTTTTCAAATAACAACATGAAGGTGCAGCTGAATGCAACAAACCCAGCCATTAAATTGAAATTATATTCGGTCTCAGTGTAAAGTAAATTATTCATTATGGACTTGATTACACTAGTTTTACATTAGAGTTATGTATTATCACTCATCATATTATATTATATATATAATTATGATGTTAAAGTTAAAGTAGCTTGCATTATAACATTCTTACACTTGTAAATAAAATATTACATTACTATATTAAGATGTAATAAATGTATTATAACATTTCATATGCAATCCTCTATCATACTACACTACATATGGTGTCTAATATCACAGTACTGTGTCACATTGCTTTGAGAGAAGGTGGTTGTTGGTTTAAGGTGCAACACTGGTCACAATACTTTATGTATATTGCGTGTATTGTTTTTATTTTGTATTATTATTTCACTTTACTTCTTATTACTCATTTCTTACTTTTTATGTATGTATTTGTATGTTGTGCTGCTGCAACACAACAACTATTATATCTTCTCTTGAAGATGTGTTGTTTCAGCTCAGTGGTTTGGAGGCTGCAGTGGACTACCCCACAAGGCACAAAATATTACAAATATATGTCAATGTTAACATAAAAATATTCAGGAGCACCACAAACTACAGACTTCAAAATAACCAGAGTTGAATCAGCACTTCTCTGATAAGTAAAATCTCCACAAATTGAAGTATATCTTTTTTTATATATATTTATTGAATTTTTGGCCCACTGATTCAGTGCATGTCATTTGCTGACCATGCCTATTCCTCTATAGGGTGTCCAAACTATGGCCTGCGGACCATGTACGAGCTGTCCTGAATTTATATGACCGGATTAGTCAATTTTGTAATGAAACTGTGGCCTGCCTGTATGCCTGTATGTAGTTCATATTGTGAACACAAGGTGTCACTATCGCCATATATAGTGAAAAGTATATTCTTGCACTTCATGTAGACACATTCATGTGCATAATAATCATAATAAATAACTGATGAGAACAACACAGCTGTGTCTTAAAACTGTTGAAGAAATCAACCAACAGGTAAAAATGAGAAACTAACAGCTCCTTGCAACCACTACCACATACACATGTGAAAATAAAATGACAATTCATTCATTCTAGTTCAACCCA